CCCCCCCCCCTCCACCACCATGGCCCCTCCCTGGTTCTTGTGCATTCCACGGTCCATGAACTGAAGTAACTGGCCAAAGAGGGTCCAGTTATATTCCTGTAAAAGATTTTCAAACAAGGATCGGCAGGGTGCAGGTGTCACCTGGAGAGATGACTTTTCGAGTTTGGCTGCTCTGCCACTGCTGCCAATTTCATTCCGCCGTGAGCAGGTGAGAAGAGAAAGGCCCTATTCTGAGTTAAGAACGAGACTCCCGTTCAACTTCACACGTTACTGTTTGGTTTCGAGTTCAGCTAATGCTGTAAAAATGAGGCCGACAGTGTCAGTCTTGAAAATAATGAGTCTGTATTATTTTTTCCTAGCACTAGTCTTGACTGACAATTATGAAATATAATGGTGGTTATAAAATGTGTGCAGAATTGTCTCATGTTCTGTTATGCTCTGTTTACATGAATATCAGTGTATGTAACAATACCAGCACTCTAACCTCCCTAAGTGATTGGAAGATGGATGAATGAACAATATTAATAATTGCTAATTACTAATAAAGGAGGTATTGAAATTTGTCACTACAACCCTCCAGCGGATAATCAGCTACAAAAAAAATTCATGGGTATTAAAAATTGAGCACTATGACTTTCTGAGGCAGGGAGACCTTTTTTCAACATAAAATTTGTCTCACTGAGGCCTTAACGTGAATTAGCTGCATATTAAACTAGAGAAGTGTATTTGCATCACTGTTGCTTCACACCTCCAGGGACGGCTTTGGTCAATCATCATGCGGGCTTCTTCTAGGTGCTCCTGCAGTCCCGACATTCCATTAGATTAAGTGGAATCTCTGAATTACCCAGAGTGCATGACTGTGGGTGCGCCCTGCCTCTCATCCGGGTAGGACCTCTGCCTTGTGTCCTGACTCACTGTGACTCATAGAAAGCAGTTTTAAGGTGGGTTGCTGGAACTGATGGAGACACGCTAGTTTAATTAGCTTCGGAATGAAAGGAAAGGTGAGGACGTGCCCCTATGTGTGTCTGCTGAGAGGGAGAGCCGATTGGCCAATGCAATGGCTGTTTTGGGGGGGGGGGAGGCTGTTCCCTCCACTTCCCAGTTGGCGTCCACGCACGGTTACAGCATATCCCGTGGCCCCCGCAGGAATGCGGCTTGGCCCTTTCTGGGGGCTCTCCGCACTTAGGGCCCCTGTTCGGCCCTCTCTCGCACCTTTTTAAAAAGATAAGTCTATTTTAACTGGCCCACGGCAGCCCCACATGTACCCGGGCTTTAGTCATTGCTGTTATTAGCCTGCTGGTACATGCAGGAGGGCACGCAGAATACCTGCCTGCGCAGCTGTGCGTTAGTAACCAAGCATCTGCAGAGATCTGCAGTAAAGGGTCAAGCTGTGAAGGCGCCTGACTTTCTGTTACATCACTGCTGCTTGATACTGATCTTAGTGCCTAACAGCCTATAGTTAGGGCTACTAACTAGGGATTTAAATAGCCCGAGTGCAAAAGATGTTCAGAAGCAAAGAAAAATGGTTATTAAAATATTTGATGTTTAAAATATATGTGCAAGACACATTCAGTGCAGTGATTTACATTACATTTACATACATTTTATTTATTGTATTTTTCTTTTATTGGAGTGAGTGTCTGTTCTTAGATTATGGTGCTGTTTTACGGGACCTTGGTACTTAACTTCATTCCCTTTCATGCTACCTCATGCAAATATGGGGACTCGAGTCTGAGACTCGGACTCCAGTCGCACTTAAATCGCACAAACAAAGACTTGTGACTTAACTTTAGACTTGCCCTCAACGACTCGAGACTTGACTTGGGTGTTGTGACTCGTGAACAGTGTTCATTTCATGGAATTATTTCATTATTTTCAGTTTTTCTAGTGTTGTACGAAAGCCCTAAAGAAAGCCGACCGGACGGTCACGGCAGCGTGATACGTGTCACTGACGCATGCGCACCTGCTGGATTAATGGGGGGTATGTAATTGCGCGAATGTCTGTTACACCGTTTATCTGTTGCTGTGCGAATTCGACTTAATGGGTAAGTAATTAATATGTAAAATCCTGGTTTGTATTTTATAATAGAACTTAAACATTGTTAATTTAGAGTAAACCGGAGATCTAGCCTAATCATTAATGCGCAATCGTATGTTAATACGAGTTAAGTTTCTTTCCGGAGTTGCCTGTTAATGTACCGTGCCGTATATATTTAGTAGGTGAGAGATTTATCTAAGTGACATTAATATTATTAATCTGACTTAATATATTGTGATCTGAGTCTGTATTTAATTTGTATTATTTAGAATATGCGAGTTTGCATTATAATAAATGTTGCAATGTAACGATCTAAGTAGCCAACGAATTGCAGACGTGATAATTTACTGATTATATTTGTTGCTGTTGTAGACCACAGCCAGTTATATTCAGCAGACTAATCACAGCTGCCCATGTAACAGATCAGAATGGCAACCTTATTTACCAGCTATCAGCTATCAATCTGCTTTCCTGTATTAAAGTGTTAAGTCCGCTGCGCTCTCAGTGTTCTCTAACCGGAACCACCTTCCACCATTTCTTCACCTGCTCAACCAGCGTATCCCTGAGAAGCTCCCATAGCTCAAATACAAATATGTTATGGGAAAATCGGAAGCAGACTGAATATTTCCCTCCCTTGATATTACGCGCAGCGTGACGCTTGCGCCGAGCCACAGATTTCAAATCAACACAGACCATGGCGACGGCAAGTTCACCTGGAGCTGCGCCATTTGTTGTTGCATTTGGTTATAAAGTCTTCACACAGACAGCTAACAAGCGACCGGCCACTTGCAAAGTGTGTGGCGTCAGGGTAAATGATGCCGGCTCAACTCCGTCCAACTTCATCGGGCACCTCAAAATGCACACGGATAGTTCAGTCACTTGGTTAGGTAAAGGGTGTGTATGGACAGATGGCGTTACTGGTAGCAAACTAATCAAACCACAGTTGTAGGATTTACAGACTACATGCAGATTACAGCTTTATTGTTCCCCACCCGTTTTATTTAACATCTCAGTACATTTCAGCCTAGGCTACCATCAAGTAGCAGGCCAATGGAAGCCCTCTACCAGTTAGCAGATGGCAGCAGAGTATATATGGATGTAGTCTATTGATGTAGCCTCACGTTAATCCTATGCATTAATCGCTGTTTTAGAAATGCTGTTATGATATCAGTGCACTTGGTAAAACTCCATTCAGCTGCCCAAGTGTTTATTCAGGAAAAAATATTACAACGTAACGTCATTGAAGAAGAATTTCTTTCAGAACATCTATCACAAAAATACAGTAGGCCTATTCCACTGCAGTATTGCTGTTAATATTGCTCTAATATCTTGATAATGTAGTGTATAATAATAGATGATAGTACAGTACATGCTTTCAATCCAAAACGTACAGAAGTTCAGTATTATCTCAGATAGCATCTGATGAGAAAACGTTCATTTCAGTCATTTGAGACTTGAGACTTTACTTGGACTTGGGACAAAAGACTCAAGACTTGACTTGGCATTGCCCCGCAAAGACTTGAGACTTGACTTGGACTCGAGTACAAAGACTTGAGACTTGACTTGGACTCGAGTACAAAGACTTGAGACTTGACTTGGACTTGGAAAAAAATGACTTGTGAACATCTCTGACCTCATGTTTTCGAAATGACAACAAACCTCCTTGACTCTCGAATCTTGAGTTTAAACAGAAATAATCCTTTGAACTGAAGGTGGGAGACTTGCCAGCAAAAAAGTGTCTCATGTAATCTGTCTTGGGGGGTTTCATGAGTGGGAGAAAAACAAAAACAGCAAATTGCTCTTTTGATACTGTAAAGATGTGGGTCAGTCCCTGAAGGTATCAGCCCAAATCTGCTGACCACCTGCAGCCGCCGGGAGCAGCTCACAGACGATGAGGCAACGCGGCGCTGGAGTCTGAGGATCGGCCATGTAAAGGATGACTAACACGCCAAGAGGTTACTGACCCGTTAAAAAAATACTGCATTGATTTAAATAATCAGTCCAAATCGCAAGAGATGCTCTACTGATGTACTTTCAAAGGAAGGAACTTAATGTAAATCATTTGCAGGCTCTATGCGGATCCCTTGCTTGGTGAGCATGTTATCTTAATATGTACATATTTATTTTGGGGCAAAAGCGCGATAAATATATCTAATTATCTGTTTATAATAAGTCATACATGGCATGTGACGTTGAATTCTTTCTCTGGCTCAGTGATTCATATAATTATCTTTATAGTTATTTTTTCCGAGTCCTTGGATGAAGTCAGAAATTTATAGGCAATCTGGGAGACATGGTTAACTTTTCTCTGATCCCCCCCCCCCCCCCCCCCGTGACATTAGGACCTGTTAAAACGCCATCTGAGAAGATGCCTGTGATGTGTCCATTAGTCATCCGTTTGGGGAGGTGAGCACAGGGTTCACAGAGAGAAGGGTAACATGGGTTCTAATAACAGTGGGCTGTGCATCATTAAAATCTCTTTAGAACCCCCCACTCCAGTGCCCATTACACCCTGACAGATATCGATGACATTTCTGCGGGGCACGTCCTCTCCTACGGTGACTAATGAACGAGGACGAATGCGAACGCGGGTGAGTAGCGGAGGCAGCCGGTCCACATGCCGTCTGCCGAAACCACAGTCCCTCCCCCAAACCTACATCACCCCCCCCACCCCGCTTTCTTTAAAAACATAGGGAGAGGCAGTTGGGCCTCCGTTTGGTCTTAATGGCGATTGTTCAGGCCTGATTTACATCCACCGCCGCTGAATGGCGGCAGGTCAGCCGAAACAGTGCCTGTGCACTCCAGCTTCCGAGCGACAATAATAATGAGGCCGGCATTAAGCATCTCAGAAACAAGCCTCTTTTTCCCCGACCATTGAGTCCTCACACAAAGGAGTCCGCGTGCACAATAAGCTAATTACGAGCTAAAGCCTCCCTATGCTCGAGATGAGAACTGCTCCCTTTCCTGCCAGCTGACTCCTTGTAAAATGTAGGAGAAAAGGAGGACAAAAACCAACTTGAGGAGGTGGTGGACCTCCTACAGCCCCCGGCCAAGACGTGGCCGTAATTGGAGGTGGAATGTAGCCAAAGACAATCTGGAAGCCAGACGGGTCAAGGGCGGAGTCGACCGGGCAAGGATTTGCCAACAGGAAAGCAGCTCAAATAGTTTCCATCCTCAATCCATTTACAGAGGCCTCTCACATTATCATATAGCCATAAGCTTATATGCGATCAAGCATTTATTTACAGAGTTGAAAGTATATCACAGAGCACTGAAGAGGCATATCGTCATTTTCCTGATGCATTTTGCAGAATTTACTCACTTGTATGGGTGGAATCATTTTCAAGTTAAGTGCATATGAGTGCCATCCATACCCTGACCTGCCAGAACATCAACCAGCAACATTCAGTATCCACATGTGAGACATTAATCTCCGTGGCGAAAAACCAGCCAGAAAATGAAAGCTCAAACGGAAGGATTGTGCTTTTAAATGGGTCTCAGATGATACTAGCCCTAAAAATTAATTATCTGCCACTAGGGGTCACTATAGCACACTCCCCCTTCACCCCAGAGATGACTCTATGGATAAATGGACCAAATAGCCTTTTTTAATGTTTTCAGGTAGACGATGCTTCAGTAAACAAACATAAGTGAGATTCCCTGTTTTGTTGATTCAAAGGACGAGGACGGTGCTTGTCCACTCGGTGTCTGGGCTTCACGAAAAAAGAAACCGACCGCGATTTCCAGCCTGTCGCTATGGTAACCGAGGTACATAGTCCCTCTCTCTGTGTAACTGGTACCAAAAGCAGAGTAAGGGAGCATTGAAGTCCAGCGAAGAGTTTGCTTAACATATCAAGCAGATGGCTTTGAGCACGGCAATTTTAAATGGATTCCCATATTGTATTCAGGTGTTCTTGTTGCCTAATATTTTTGTTTATATTGTATGTGGTCATGCAAACACTTGGTGTTGTAGCAGCAGTAATAATCAGGAAAAGCAAAGGGACAGTATAGTACATGCTATCATATTACGTGACTCGCTCTTAATTTCCATGGGGCAAAACCCTAATCCCAAAAAAGACGTCTTTAACCCCTACCCAACCCTAACCCCTACCCTAACCCTAACCCCTACCCTAACCCTAACCTCTACCCAACCCTAACCCCTACCCAACCCTAACCCTAACCAAACACGATACAAGACGCTCAACCTTTCTAGTTTTTTGATTGCAGTCACAATTTTTTTTTTTTTTTATAAAATTGAGTTTGCCCGTGCGGGGGCTGATAAAAATGACTCTCAAAATTACCTGTTTGGTCCCCACAATGTAATATATACATACCCCCCAGACACACACACAAACATAATTTAACTCATAACATATTAACTTATAAACAAACCTTCCTCCCTAAGCATTAATCGTAAAAAGATTTTTTTTCCTTATCTGTGATTACCGTGTATGATGACTGCGGTTTAGCTCTGCTCACTGACCGCAATATAGTCAGGGTCAGACTGTGACATCATCATCTTCTCTCATGTGAGACGGTGTTAATTACACTGCAAAGGGTAGGGGGGCACAAAGAGGAAGGTGTGATCGTGGGTGGTCCCTGTGCATATGAGACTGGGGATTAGATCTCGGGTTATTATATTGATAGTGATGTGAGGGATGTGGGCATGAACCAGGGAGGCGATAAAGCACTACTGAGGGCTGCTCATCACATCATCTCCACTTTGCTTCCTCCCCCCTTTGCTTCCTCCCCCCTTCCCATGACAGTTTTATTATCTACTGGAATGCCTAGTGAGGTGACCCCTGTCCCCATCCCCCATTCTACGTGACAGAAGGACCGCAGTGGCGCCCAGCTGTGGAGTTTGGGCACCACGGACCGAACCGATCCCCTCTGCAGTACCTCATCATGGAGACCAGCAGCCGAACCTGGGGAATGTGGAAGCTTCAAACATCAAACACCACGGGATGCTCCCATCTCCAGATGCCACATCTATTGTATGCATGCCTGAACATCTCTGGCACTCTTGCAACCAAAATAAATGAACACATTTGCCTACCTAAATACCAGGTTTCAGACAAGCTAAACTCGTCATGCGTCTTGCTAATCAGAAATTCACCTAATGATTTTGGAACTTATCTTGGACTCAGGTAGCTCTTAATTGGAAACATATCCTTTCAGTCAATCAATTATTTTGAGTTCTTTCAGCTAAAAGAAAAAATTGTTCAGATTCGTTCAATGATTCACTCAGCTCATAAACATCCGCCCTTAAATGCAGCTCCAGCTTTATTTTATTAATAACTCACATCTGTACATCATCACACCACTATCTGGCAAAAGTCGATACTGAGCGAACTTAACGATGAATCATTCATTGAATGAAACAAACAAATTTGTGCCGTGACTGAGAACATTTTGTTCATTTAAAAGCAGCCGCGACTAGAGCTTCTGCAGCCATGGATAAATCAGAGTGGGAAGTGAACTCCCTGTGCTTCCCAGGGAAAAACCTCCTTAGTGGTGAAAAAGTTTTATTTTACATTTGAGGCTTCAGCCACAAATCCAGACACCAGCTGAACATTTGGGGGATTCATGTTTGCAGTACAAAATCATCTTATTTTCTGCTCTTAGTCTTGTGAAAAGCACCCATAAGGATACACTTTTTATTAGTAGTAATATGAAATGTCAGGATTTTTTTCTGCTTTCAACCTATTTTCATTGAACATCTTCACCAAAGCGATGCATTGACCTATTTAAAATTTTAGTAGTAAGTTTTGGCCAATATCGCTAAAGGCAAACAAGCTCTTGTTTGTGTCCATAAAACCTGCCTGCAAAAAAACTTTTTACAGCCTTGCCTCCACTTATCCTGTTTCCAGCTCGGTAGTGAGAAAGGTTCCTTTATTTATGCCCTGATTGTGTGGCATCCGGCCTCAGCTGGTTCTGTGGCGGTCGTGCCCTGCACCATGCCCCACATGTCCCCAGCATCTGCCATCCCAGCGACACCCAGCTCCTCAATGTCACACCACTCAGCCGACGAAAAGCTCAAGTGTTTACGGGAGACGATGTTGCGGGTCATATGATGAACGCCCTAGAAATCCAGCCACACCCCCCCAGCCGCCTGTACTCAGTCTGACCCAATGCGATGCGACACTTCTGTACGCACTAGTGAATAATGGCTGCATCCCCAACTCAAATATTCCCATCGAGTGTGCTATTCCAACAATGTGGTATATCCATTGCAGAGCAAAAGTAGATTCAAGAAATTGTATTATTCCATTACTGTGTCCTCTGGCCTTGAGGTCTGTCACACTGAAGTGACTGAACAAAATTGTTCGAAATTTGCTCGACAAATATCACTCCACTTCATTAATAAACAGACATGTGTGAATGTACTTGGCTTTCTATACAGCCGTCACAGTTTATAGCCGAGATATTAACATAAAGCAGACCCGTGCATTTGCAGTATACAGTGCAGACCCGTGCATTTGCAGTATACAGTGCAGACCCGTGCATTTGCAGTATACAGTGCAGACCCGTGCATTTGCTGTATACAGTGCAGACCCGTGCATTTGCAGTATACAGTGAAGTGGTGAGTTTCAGATTCAGTCCGAGACAAGGGCCTAATTTTGGTTTAAACATTGGGGGTGGTTTCCACCCATTTACGGGGAGACATTATTATTGCAGGAGTTGTATTAGACAGTTTTGATTATTTGGGGGTTACAACCCCCACCCTATAATTTACACCGATGGTCCTTGACCCGAGAATCTTGAATAAACCTCTGTATGTATTTATTTCTTTGTTTATTGTAGCACACCACTGACGCGCCTGTTTCCATTAATCAAAGAGATGCTGAGTATTTCAGTCACGTGTGTTAATTAGTCATGTATATCTGACTACAAATATAAGCCCACATATATGTGGGTTCAATGAAAATGTGTAGTCTTTTGGGTAATACAGTATTAAATACAGAGAGGGTAAAGCAGATGGAGGTAATTTACTCTTTATGACTGGAAATATAGTGATGGTGAGTCCAATAAAAGAATCACATACGGGGACCTAAGTTTGATTCAACCATGTGATCCGTTGTAAAGCGTGAAGTGCATACATTGTTCTAGATAATATTCAGCACTTAATCCGTGTTTAATTAATGAGCGTATACGTCGGTTATATTAAATACAGCCTTCTCTGCATTTACATTACAGTTTACAAATTTATAATTTGAATATTTCCATTATTCAAGAAAAGAACTGTATAATGCGTTTCCAGCCCAACTCCAAAACCAACATTTTTTTATATTATCAACAGATTTTTAATACAGCTAAGAAACGTTAATATAAAAACGAAATTTTAGTATGAGAACTCAAGACCCATTGTGGCGAAAAAAACGTGAAACCAGTTACGGTAGATAGGGGTTTACTATACCAAGAAACGGCTCCTATCTTGTTAGATATTGCGCGCAGTTTGAGCAGCGATAGATTTTTTTTAAGTTCGCTAGCACCACCTTGTGGTCGTTGTTTACAGTGGTCTGCAATTAAACTTTACTGGGAAGAAATATTTATTACTGGACCGCTACAATTTCTCAGGTAAGGTTTTAAAATAAAATTGACGAGTGGAACTTCAGATTAATGTGTAAGATTAGATTATTTACGTATATTATTAGAAAAAATGTTTATTTTTAAATAAGCTGTATAAGTAGACAAACATTTTTAAGTTATATTAAATACCGTCTTATTTCAACAATTACATGTAAACCTCCGTATTACAAATGTGTTACACATATAATAAATTGTACAAACACGTCACCAAAGAGTAGTTTACTTATCAGATAACTTAATGTTGCCAAATATCACCTTTAAATTAACTATGACTCAGTCTAACTATGACTCTGGCACAGTGCCAACACTGTTGCTTCACACCCCTGGGGCTGGGGTCTGAATCTCGACATGTGTGCAGTTTACATGTTCTCTCTGTGTTGTCCTGAGCTTTCCCCTCACGGGTTTCCCCCCACAGTCCTAAAACACGTTACGGTTAATTGGAGTTGCCAAATTGTCCATAGGTGTGAATTCTGTGTGTGCCCTGTGATGAGTTGGCGCCCCCTCCTGGCCTGTTCCCTCCCTTGCGCCCATAGCTTCTCGGATAGGCTCCAGAACCCCTTGACCCTATACAGGAAAAGGGTGAAAAGTGTAATGTTTGCAAGTAACTGGTGTATAATATGTCGGTTTGACTTAATCAATAGAGTCCGGGGCGGTGGTCCATGAAGCAGGATTTCTCAGTTAGGTGGGTTAACTTTAGATAGAAGTCATGATTGTCCAATGAGAATTTAGGCAAGACGTTTTCCTATTGGACGGTCATGACTTGTACCTTAAGTTAACCCTGCTGAGAAATCCTGCTTTGTGGGACACCCCCTAGGAGGACCAAAGTGGAGTGTCCCGTCCTGGAGGACATGGGCTGAATATCCCTGGTGCACTATAGGGTGGGGAGGTGGGATGATTCCAAGGAGCTCTAAAAAATGTGGAACATAATTGGATTGGTCTGGGTTGGGGGGCCAACATGCTTTCATGGGACCCCTCTAATGGCGCCACCTGCTGGTGTAAGCAGCTTACAACTGGCAGAATGTTAATCAATTAAGATCTGTCAAGTAGTAATGGCTACATGAAGCTTCAGGAACCATTTGCTGTATTTTTCACCCCACTAGGTGGCACTCTTGGTTTGCTTTGGGGCATGCTTTGAGCACTTTTTTTGAGCAGAGAGCACCATCTAGTGGGGGTCAGAAAATACAGCTAGTGGTTCATGAAGGTTCATTTGGCCATCACTACTGCCCAGCACCTGGGTGAAAATAACGAAAGAAGAACAAAGTTAAATGAAGCCAGTGCTGCTTTAGGCAGTGCAGAGTGCCTGGAAGCGTGTCACCAAAAGTGACACTGGCATGCAGTGCGCCTATAATCCTGTCACACATGACGGACCAAAGCTGGGAATACATCCCCAGTAATGACTCCAATCACGGGCGTCTCGTCTGTTTGAATTAATAGCAACATTGTTTCCTTTGAAATGTGGCAGAAAACAATGAATCATGCTAATAGCGTAGGTGAACCGCGGGGGAGGCGTACATGAATTTTTATGAGACCCATCCATTACCGCTGGATCGCTAGCACTGTCCAAGAGGTAATTTTAAATTCTCATGTAAACCATTGTAGGTATGAGGCAGTGTTTTTGTCTCCGTTGTCATATGTGTATTCTGTCATCAATAAACAGGAGCCTTCGGGCATAGGATTGCACTCTTGTTAAACTGAGGGCTAAAACACTGCAAATTGATGTATCAATATGGTCTTTTTGCTGAAATTTACAAACATAAATATTACAACCATCCATCTGCCATACTCAGTACTTCAGTGAATATTCTAGCTCAGTGTTTCCCAACCTAGTCTTTGGGGACCCCCAGACAGTCCAGGTTTTTTGTCTCTCCCAGCTCAAGAACACTGAAGACCTGATACAGGTGTGTCAGGTACTGGGAGGGAGCAAAAATGTGCAGTGTCTGGCAGGGAGACTGGAGGGAGCAAAAACATGGGCCGTCAGGGGGTCCCTGAGGACCGGGTCGAGAAGCACCAGTCTAGCTGAACCTGGATCCCAAGAAGCACAGTACAGAAGACAGGGGGACGCCCTGGATCGGATGCCAGTCCATATATTCAGCGAGATAATCAAACCACGGAGGCGTATGATGCTGCAGCTCTAACAACTGAAGGACAAAGTATTTGTAGAGCACATATATAACGTCATCAGTTATTCAGATTTTGCAGTGAATGATTTGGAATCAAAGTTTAGAAGTAGGTTTATTTAAATTTATTCATATCAGTAAAAAGATCAACATTTTGAGACATATGCTCTCTGTCCTAAAACAACAAAAGAACAGAAAATATTCTACTTAGAGACGGCTGCACCGTGGAATATAAGAGATAATGTTCCTTTGTTGTTGTTGATAAACTGATAAGTTCAAATTTTAGGATGGCATGTGACAGCATTTTCTATTCTGTATCTCGAAGAAGAACACACTATCTCATATGTCTTACAGTAATAATTCAATCAGAACTGATTACATAGAATAATAATCAGCAGGACAATATGAACAGATGGAGGGTGTCACTGGTGCTGGTTAACATCCATACACAATACAAATCATGAATTAACACAAACATTCTCATAGTACTAAAGCTGTATGAAACATTTCAGTCATGTGATGCTCGTTGGATGCTTCTCAAAGCATCTAGGTGTTAAGGACTGACCCCGGCAGCAGGTCGGGCTTATCGCCTGTGGGGGGGTAGGTGTTCTGTTCAATAGGACCCCCCCCAGAGGAATGGGTGGCCGCATAGTCGCACCCATGCAGCTGCGCAGTCAGGGAGCCTGGCGCCTTGGGCTCGGTCGCGCCGTGCTCCACTTGCGCAGACACGCACACCGTGTTCTCCGTTGCAGGTGTGGGCACCGGTGTGTTGGCGTTCTCGCTGATGCTCTGCACCGCGATGCTGGAGCCGGACTGAGGAGACGGCAGATACACGAACACTGATAACCACGTTGCGGTGATGGATCTGGCATCCTGCTGGGATGGTACCTACCCGAGCCACAGACACGGCGCTGTCTGCCACCGCCTTCTTCCTCCTGGAGAGACTGGGGTTCCAGTGACAGACCAGACTGTCGTTCTGCACGCTGTAGTTCTTGTTGCCCATAAGCCAGTATGTGTTCATTTTACCTTTGCCCTGAAAGCCAAAGACATTTCAAAAGGAGGTGCTGGAAGCATGATTGACAACAAAATCGCAAACAATTCCACAAGACCCCCCCCCCAAAATATAAGTTTATTAATAACAATAATAATAATAATAATAATCATTGACATTGAAATATTCACAGTGTAAGCTGGCATAAGATAAATGTTAATTGGAGTCAGCAAACCTACAGTTCAATAAATAAAATGAGACTGGAAGTGGGGGTTAGGGGTACTTTGTTTTACAAAAAACACTCAAACATTTTGAATTTGCCATTTACAAGAAGCATCTCCCAAAAAAAAAGAGATATCGGAGCGTCAGGCACCCCCACGGTGACACGGGGGAGAACATGCAGACACACAGAACCCTGGCAGAGACTCAAACCCAGGTCCCCGAGATGGGAGGTGACGGTGGCAACCACTGCACCACTGCGCCACTGCACCACCTTTCTGCACAATCCATTCTCTGTATTATTACAAGCCTTTTCACATGGAGGGTAGAGCTGGAGACTTGGTCATGTGACCTAGGTCATGAAATCCTGGATCTTTTAAAGCTCGGATTCTGAGATGGATCCTCACCTTGACCTCTATCTCCCCCCTCAGCTGCAGATCATAAGCATTGTCCTTCATGAGGGCAAGGTAGGTGTCCGAACTGGCGTGGATCCTTTGAGCTGTCACAGCAAACACAGCCAAAACTGAGCAATAAAAAGGACTTTGGGAACAACTGGTGGCTTGTAAAGGGTTAATAATACCTGAGTTACTGCAGCACATTTTAATGAAAAAGTTGATAAGCGGGTGTTTGTGCCAAGGAAGGGCACGAATATTAAAGGCATTACGGTACACATGGGGGGCCGGGAGTGGGTGGGAGGGGGCAGGTGTCTGCTCACGCAGGCTGGTGGACTCCATGCGGGACGCTGTGTTAACTGTGTCTCCAAACAAGCAGTACCGTGGCATCTTGTACCCCACGATGCCAGCGACACAAGGACCTGGGTGGAAAAACAGTTTCTTGAACAGTAAAAGAAAATTAAAGGAGCCCTATTATGCTCATTTTTACTGTTCATAATATTATTTTGGTATGTATTACAATAGATTTTCAGGCTTCAGTATTCCAAAAATGCATTATTTTTGTCGTACTGTACATCTCAATTCACACTATAACTCTGTTAGAGTTTTAAGCCCCACCCCTGTTGAGTCCAGTATGCTCTGATTGGTCAGCTTGCCCAATTGGTTAGATTACCCAACACGTTCTGCCCCTGTCTTGCAGTCTGCAGACAGATCTTTGCATGTAGGTAGCCAATGAGGATTGTGTTACGAGGTGACCTCACCATGTCACAGAAGTAAGGGCTGGAATTCCAACAAGGTGTTTCAGGCAGATTAGAGGAAGTGGTTTCTGTGGTGAGAGTTACTCCCTTCGACATGTAGTTTGGACCTTAAGATTTTGCAGACTGTTTACATGCGTATAAGGTACACTAAACACACTAAAGAAAATGGAAAAACCGGAAAAGCATAATAGGGCCCATTGAAAATCTTTACATTTTATTCAAATATTTTTATCTCATTTGTTAACACCTTCAGTGAACAATCTGCTTAAGGGCCTTTGGGAAGGGTGCAGAAACTGCTGGTAAGTAAGTGTCAGCTTATGGCTAAGAGGCCACCAGAGGGCGCCCCAAGCTGATCAGCCTATCGGAATGGAAAATGACAAGTGACAACTAGCTTTATCAAATTTTGTATAGTGTCCCGAAAAGGGTTGGGCTGGCATTGCCACGGGCAGCTGTGTCAGGACCCGTGGTATGAAATCTGCATCCCAGAGTGAGGATCTGAGGACAGCGGAGGTCAGCTCACCGGTGTGGATGCCCGCCCGGAGCTGCAGGCGTTTGCCAGGCATGTGCGGGATGGGCACCTGCCGCACGGCGGCCACCAGGTCCAGTGACATCTTCGCTATCTCATCTGCATGCTTGTCACCATTCCTTTCTGGAAGTCCGCTCACCACCATGTACGCGTCTCCGATGGTTTCCACCTGGGACATATTGATCACGTGTTTTTTCTTTTCTCCATTACCCTTTAGCAACAATAATGTAAAACACAGGGCTATTCTGTGACAGTGAATGGCTCAGTGCTGTGGCAAATGCTAAGTAAGCATGAATAACCATGCAGTGCGCGGCAGTGAACGCTACACAGTGCCAGGGGTCAATGCTATTACCTTGTAGACGTCATAAGACTCTATACGGGTGTCAAAGCACATGTAGAGGTTGTTCAGCATCTCTACGACTTGCAGTGGGGTGCAGGAGGCAGAGATTGCAGTGAAGCCCACTATATCCGAGAAGAAAATTGTTACCTGGAAATCAAGACGGCACAAATCAGTATCTGCGCTTCTGTTTGCCAGATGAGCATTTTCACTTTCTTCACGCGCGAATGAAACAATGTTTAAAAGCACAACATATATCCATCCTTCATGACCGCGCATGTAGCACCGGGCCGTAGGAATCTTAGAGTCTGTCCCGGGAAGCAGAGAGCATGAGGCAGGGAACAAATGCAGCGTGTCCATTTCCATAGACCCACAGCACAGAATTCATTCTTTTGGGCTGGTTTTATAAAACAGAGACATGCCCAGTGAGGCCAGTAAACACCTACTGTTTGTCAACAACCACCCAAGATCACTTAACATATTGCTTTAAAAACATTTTAACCCTACCTCCTATAAGCTTCTCAGTAAGTAAATCTCTACAAAAATTATTTATAGAATTATATCTTTAGAAATTATATATTCCTGATAAAGTTTATTGAATTCAATAAGTATCATCAATCTATCCAATACAGGAAATCATTGAGTTTGGATCCTATCAGCATACAGTATACAAATTTTATTGCTATGTGACTAACATAGATATGGTCATACGTCACTCTAATTATCATGTAAGAATTATATAACCTCACACAGAAGTGAAAATAAGGAAATTAAATGGAATATATATCTATCAAATATGAAAAATTATAGTAGTGTTTTAAGTGCTCATGGTGCCCTTTTGTATTTTAAATGTTTGATATAAATTTCCATCTCAAAAGAACTAAATCCGGGGACATAGAAACTTTGGGGCCCCTCACAAAATGTGACCTGCCCCCCCTCCCCCCAGCAGTTTTATGGCTAATTTTATGTATTACAGGACCCCTGTCAAATGCTGGGCCCCCGTGTATCTGCCGGGGTATCCTGTGTGTCTCATTCCATCATCTGGATCTTATTGGTTTAAATATATTTTGTATAAAGGAGTCTAATAAAGTTTAAACATCCCCTTCCTTAACTGCTGCAGAGGACTAAGTTATTGCTAAAGTACAGTAACAGCAACACCTAACAGTACCGTGTTTGTTGCTGTAAATTTTTTAATTTAATTTGAAACACTTGTGCCAAGCCTTATTTTACAATGTGTATACTAAATTTTATACACAATTCAACAAAATAAAAATTGGGGGGAAAAAAACAAAACGCGAATAATTGTAATGTGGTTTTGGGATCATGGGGAAAAACATACAGGTTTGCGAAAAGAAAGGTATTTATAAATGCTTAGCTTTTGAAAAATCAACGGCCGGCGAATTTTGTCCTTCCTGAATCTGATTTGTTAACAACAGGCAGCTTTTAGATCCAGCTGCTGTATTTCTCCGTATGACTTGTTTTTATCTACTAATGAATATGCAGAACCATAATTACGGCAATTACGTGAACAATAAGTAGGCTACAAACAAATTCAATCTGCGCGCATATTCATTACGGTTTTCTCTTGTAAGATTATATCTTGCAGATTTACTACCAAATTGTAGCAATAAAAAAAGAATCAAGCAGTTCAGGTAGGCATTTACACCCACCCACCTTGCTATTTACAAAGGTGGATACCTCAATTAGGGTTAGGAAGGATGGAGCGCTATACGGCAGGGCTGCAGGCGGCTTGAAGCGGCAACCCTTCGATTACAGCCCATATCCTTAACCACTGTGTCATCTGCTGCCTCAATGAGGGAAAGATGCCTAAAATATCTTTTTGGTAGTGTGGCTATTAGACGCCATCATTAACCTAAAGCCTCCGTCTCATCAGAGGAAGATGCAAAATACCCCTATAGGACAGTGTCGCATTTCACCTGTTCGTAACTCTCCGCTTTGACGTGCTTCCTCTGACGCAGTTGCTTTGCTACAGATTTGGGGAGCATCTGGTGCAGCAGGTCCTCGGCTAGATGCCGCTCCCTCTTTAGGTCCTCCGTCCTCTCCTTCAAGCTCCGCGCGTAGTTCTGAATCCAATCCGTCATCTGTTTGAAGGAGAGCAGCACTATTGGATAGATGAGGCAAGCGATGGTCAACAGGCAAATCTTCAAACTCAAGCTGGAGAGCAAGTCCCGTGATTTTTGCCTGAGTGCCTGACGCCCCTTCTCCAGCACACATGCCCGTACGTGTCCAAGGCTGTCAATAACCGCCTGCCCCATCCAAGTCGCCCAGGGCAGCAGTATGGGGGAATCATGAGGCGGGGTCAAGTCCAGTCTCACGCTCATGTTCTCCATCCAGCATGTCTGGAGGTTTTCTGATACGTACTTAGCGAAAGACAAGGTGCTCACAGATTGATAAAAATAGTTCCGAAAACCTTCATCTGCCGTTGGCAGGGACCCTTTTAGTTGACGACTGAGTTCCTGGACACCAACCAACAGTTTAAGTGACATTACGTCGGCCCATGTTGCGCTATGCTTGACTCTTTCGATGTCCTCCTCCGGGTCGCCCCAATACCTCAAGAGTCTCAAAATGAAGACAGAGTAGATCGTCGCATTAACACCTATGTCGCCGGCATGCTCAGTCTCATCTATGAATGAGAGAATGTCTTCCAGTTGCGTACAAAACTCATTCATTTCCGCGCTGCACGGAAGCCCCTGCGAGTTATGGGGGACAGGCATGTATTTGCAGAGGTGCATAATAACGGAAAAAGTATCAGAAGGTCGCCGAATACAGGGACTGCGTCCCGTCGCGTTGCTCGTCTGTGGCACACACGATCCCCACATGTTTTGAAGTTCTCCAATAAGCCCTAAAATTGTATTAGTTTTACACGACGTGAGCTGATGGAGTGCAGCCTCGGTGTCTCGCCATGATTCCAGGTTGGCGCTGACATCCACAGACACCGAGCCGAGAATGGAAAGAAAGGAGAGCAGACAGGCGGTAAGAATACGGAGAACCGTGCGGCTGCTGCCCGATCCCGACGACGGCGAACACCTAAGGGATAGGAAGTAACGAAATTAGCAAAGGGTTACAGCGCGTTTTTACATTTCAGGTAGGCCTATTTCCCAAACAGGCAAACGAAACAAAGTGAATATTTTATTACAGATTTAACAATCAGTCGAAAAACTAAACAAAATATATTCTGATCTTAATTTTATTGCACTATAAAACAATAATTCAATCATCTCACTTAATCACAAAGTGAGATAAGATTAAATAATACAAAGCAATGATATTAAATGCTATTCAATTAAAAAACTTAAAGGTAAACACCGTTAACAGCGTATCACCCGTTTTAAATTTCTATTTACCAATAAATAATAACGGATTAACTGCTTAAAAAAACTGTAAGGACTATAATTATGATAAATATTAAATAGTGAATATTTTAAACAAACAAACAGGTAGCGTAGGTTAATGTAACACTAGGTAGCCTACTAAAATATCGATTTTTGTTACAATTTTTAATATTATGACTAAGAATTTTTTAGGAGTAGTGTTACTAGAAAATATTTGTACATTTTTAATATAATGTATAAACTATAACACGCAGCCCTACATAACTTCAAACGTTTGACTCTTCAGTAAGCCTTTTTAACAGAAATATTATATATATATATATTATATGTATAAACAAAATATACGATGTGAATTTTATATTGTATCTAAACAAAAAACAAAACATTGACAAACAGAAAAACAGACATTTATCAAATGTATCATGTATCTGCCGCTTGTTGTATTTTAAATGTATCTATATAGCGATATAATATCCAAAGTAATGACCAAAACAAACCATTACCTGCAGATTTCACAGTCACTCTCAGGCAGGCGCGGAGTCTTTGCTGTAGCTCTTTCTCTTGCTTTGCCCCTGCTTCGCTGAATTTTTGTTAATGTTCCTTTCAGCGAAGCCGAGGACAAGTTTCCAGAGGCGAAACAGTCCACTGAGGACATGAGATTGACCTTTACGGGTTGGAATATATGGCCGGAAAGAGTATTAACGCTTCTTTTGAATGGATGAACGGACAGTTTGATTTGGATCATAGGCCTATAGCGTTTCTTTTCCCCCCCCAGAAATAAATATTACCCAAGGACAGCCCGTCTGCTGTCAGGTGGCTGAGGCACACTTACGAACCCCCATAATTAGGCCTATTAGTAAGATGAAACGGGAACAGCCCGCGTCCGCCCCTCCAGCATTTTATGTGAGGGATTATTATCGGTCAGGCAGGGCGAGTAATTATTATTACCTGTTTATAAATACTCACGTGTTGCTGTAAATATATAACACGATTTGCCTTATTCTTATGGCAAAACGCAATATATAGTTAATAAAGATATGTTTCGGAGACATATCAAAAATATTAACAGGTAATGTATTCGACAGATATTTACATGTATTTATTTGTTTGTCGTGCTAGAATATCCAGATGTAGTAGAGAATGTAGCCTACTTGCAGTGTAGAAACAGAATCACGGCACAGAAATGCGAGCAGAAACTTGATTTCCCTCACAACTTAATTAATGTAGGCTATACGAAACCATTTATATGAGGGGCTTAAAGAAACAGAGAGGAGACACAGACAGGAGCCTTGGAGAAAAATGTGGGGATTAGGGAACAAAAAAAAAAAAAGACGCATGCAGGAAACCGGAAAAAATAAATACGAAAATAAATGAGGGTGCAATCATTAAGATAAAATGTACCGCCGTGGATAGATGTACTGATTAAAGTGAAAAAGATGCGAAGGTGGATGAGTAAAATGTATTAAAAAAATTTAACAATGTGTAGAAGATGCGCAGGTCATCAAGCCAGACACCGTAATGCCGTCCATGGACTGACGGTGCCGGCCAGCAGGCTCTGCATTGGGCGATGATGTAAGAACTGATGGCAGCATGAATGACGGACAGGCAAAAATATTTCCTCATGCAGCTTGGAGCCGAAGGCAGTCCTCCGTGCCAAAACAGCCTCTTGGAGCAGATGGGAGGATTTTCTCATGGTGACCCAGATCAGCAGTATTTTCCGATTAAATAGCTAAATGGACACACATAACACAGAGCAGGGAGAACACCTGGCGTTTTAGGTCAGAATTCAGTGTGTAAAATGTTGAGAATGTAGATGAAGATGCTTGAATTATGAGAGCAGTCAACCTAAACAAAAAACGATGTCATGGGCAGGGGTGTAGGAGGGACATGGACAGGCTGGCAGAATCAGGGGCCCCAACATTGTATATAGGGGACCCAAAAATCTACTGTTGGGGGCCCGCTTGGCAAAATCTACCACCAGGGATCCTCCAGACATCAAATTCTCATACTCATAGATTAAAGAAACTACGGGTTGGTTTCCTGAAGCCTTCTTAACGCTACATTGTTCATAAGTTCTGTCTTTTAATATGCGGTACACAATGTCTTAATTAAAAGTATTAAATATATATATTACCAATTCCAAGGTGGACGGATGTAACATTATAACAGAATACTAGATTTAACTAGATGCTCTAAAGTTTCAATCTAAAAACCGTAAATTCACAAAACTCAGTTCTAAAACATTTTGCTTTTCTTCTTTTATTTCTATATTTTTGAAAACAGAACAAGCAGATTTGAATTTGCCCCAAATGTAAAAATCATTACCCGATAATCAGCGGACAGGTACCCTGACACCCACACAAGTATAGTTATAAGCTATTAGGTGGGAATAACACAAGGCCTCCAACATCAATGATTCACATATAAAATATGTATGACAAAGAATGATAAACATTTGTGGCAGGTTTTCCCAGTACTAAAATGCATATAATTTACAACTAAAATCAAACTTAAAGGTGCTTTGATACATCAAATAATCTTACCCACACAGTAATTAAATTATCACAAACAACGTAACACAGCTAAACAAATTGCATTAAATTCAAGCACATCCAGTGATTTATCAGTGTACAGTGAATGTATTTAGGTTAATGTATTTCAATGTGCATTGTTAGCTATTAATCTTATTTATGCTACACAATTCCATGTAAAAGGTTTTTAATAAATCATTCAGTAGTTTCTGCTGTGAGGTTTTATTTTTTGATTGGGTAACTATCCAAATCTCGAAAAAATCATCAGTTAAAAAAAAAAAAGAAAAGATTCAAGTACAAATTTAATGTTTCTGGAATGTTCTGTGTGCAGCTTCCGTGACATTTTCTGATGTCCTTCATATCGTCTTCATGCATTTTTAAAACACAAAGTAGCCTTTGTGTTATTTATTGCTTTTCTTCAAAGTGTGACAAGGCTTTTATCATTGTTGACTTCACCTACTCACACGACATTAAAAAAAAGTCAAGTTGAGGTGTTAGTTAAGGGCTGAAAATCACAGCTTTGCCCGGGATTTGAACCAAGACCCTGCGGTTAAGACTCCCAATCATGACACTGTCTGTAACCCTACAAACGGGGGCTGCGCTTCTCCTTAACGTGTTCCATCCAGCTCCCACAAAACTACCTTCATTTGAACGCTTACATGGGGACTGGCAGCCAGCTGCTGATTGGACAATGACTGTGGACGTCATGGAGACGCTTCGCTTTCTGTGGATATAATGCAAACAAGCGGAGGACAAAGGGACGGAAGAAAAATGCAGGAAAACATTCTGCAAAACAACCAGATACCAGGGAAGCCGCACCTTTGATCCTCACATTGGCTTTGCGCAAAAAGCTAGTGACATATGCAGAGCTTATTAAATACCTGCCCGCGTATGTAATACACGCAACACTCATTCATTCATGTAATTGCCATTCATAATTAACGTACAGTGCTCACAGAAAGTCTTGGGACACTTTCTTAATTCTGTTGTTGGTTTCATACCAAATGTCAATTGATAATCAATATTTAACGTATCTGTACATCACACAGACATTTTCTTTTTAATAAGTGTCAATTTTTTTTTGACTGACTCAGTTCTGTTCTTGCCATTTTACTGTAAATTGCAGTAAGCACTGGCTGCCAAAGGCATATTGCACTCAAATGTTTGGTGTTTTATGTTATTGCAAAAGTCAAAAGTGATACTAATTAAAAAGTCCCCAATGAGACTGCTTTGAGCAATTTTAGAGCTATAATTTGGGTTTCAGTTTAATACTACTTGAAATGAATGTTTTACTTAAAACCACTGTTTTTACTGTTGTGTGTGTGTGTATATATATATATATACACACACACACACACACACACACACACAACAGTAAAAAAAGTAGTAAGTAATGGCTTTTGTTATAAAACCAATATATTTGCAATATCTTTACTGAAATAAGCAATTTAGCAGTTATTGTTTACTCGCAATTTCCTACGCAACATAACCTACACAAATTAAATACACAGCAGCGTCCTGCAATTCTGAAACCTCACATATAATGAGAGAGGTCAGAGTATCAAATATCCAGCTGTCTGTCATTCTGTCTGCTAAAGCCACATGTCCTTGCAGGTGCAAAGTTTTGTCTTCAGCTGTACTGCAGCCAAATATGATGGAACACGAACACGAACACACACACACACACACACACACACAAAAAAAATCCGCTTCATTGGCCCATTCTGTATTCCGGCTCGGAGACAGACATTCTGTTCACAAGTTCTAGACGCCATGTATTGCAGCTGCAGAACTCCCTCCGAAAGAACGACCCAAGCCGATAAGGAAAAGCCTGACTGCTCATTGAGTATAATGATGCTCAAGAATCACATACCTACTTACTGAATGCAGTTAAAGTCTGGCAACACTTACATGAATTTAGAATTTAGTGATCAGCGGTCATTGTCAACACACCACAGCACACAGTGCGCAACAACGAAATGTGACCTCTGCATTTGACCCATATGTGACTTTCGTGACA